TTCTCGCCTGGAGCATGCTGGCATTTCCCTTGTTGACAGTGTTCGCACTTCTCGCCTGGAGCATGCTGGCATTTCCCTTGTTGACAGTGTTCGCACTTCTCGCCTGGAGCATGCTGGCATTTCCCTTGTTGACAATGTTCGCACTTCTCGCCTGGAGCATGCTGACATCTCCCTTGTTGACAATGTTCGCACTTTTCGCCCGGACCGTGTTGGCATTTTCCATGTTGACAATGTTCGCACTTTTCGCCCGGACCGTGCTGGCATTTTCCATGTTGACAATGTTCGCACTTTTGGCCTGGACCGTGTTGGCATTTTCCATGTTGACAATGTTCGCACTTTTCGCCTGAGCAGTGTTGGCATTCTAGACTCCGTACGCAGTGTTCGCATCTTTGGGTCTGACTATGTTGATGTTGGCATTTCCCGCGCTGTTGTCCTCGATGACCATGCTCGCAATGGCAGTCTATGAAATCTTTTAGTAGGCAGCACTCACATTGCAGACGTTCTTGATCGACCAGTCGGCAGTGCAGGCATTTTCGGCCTCGTGGCCCTCGTCCAAGCTTGTAGTGTTCCGTACTCTCAGATTCCATGACATCCACAGAGGTGGTTGTTCGTGTCTCCCTGGTTTCGACGACATACGGCATGGCGACTGATCGCTGAATGTAGAATGAAGATCATCCTTCTTTGTCAGTCTTTTATATCCTTGAAGTTTACATGCAAACACTTTATCGCCTTATCAGCGCGTAAATGACTACGCTACTGGATAACGTCCTACTTTACAGAATAGCTAGTTGTGCGTGTGGTTTGTGGCCGGAAATCATAACTTCTGTTTCTCTGGGCCTAAGGCATTTGAATTTGGAAGGGTACAGTTGGCAGCATGGGAATCATTGATGGTAGATATCAGGAAATGGTAAAAATTGATAAGAACTGATAACAGTAATGGCATGTCGCTTTGACGTACACATAGACCATTGGGCTATGCGCGCTGACGTGTGCATTATATGTCCACGACCGCTCCTCTGCGATGGAGCCATTAAGCTGAGTGTTGATTGTTATAATAAGATAATTCTCTTCATACAAGACGGGTTGTCCGGCTTACGCCGAGCCCCATTCCTTCCTTTCAAGAGTACTTACGTAGAAAATAATGTAGTTACGGAAGGAGGCTTCGCTTTTAAGCAGCATTGAAACCCTTAGTGCGAAGAAGAATGGGTAGCAGACCTTAAAGCTAGGAGGGCATGACTTGAATATCCAACTGACTCACCCACTCTGGGGCTCCTTCCCTGTTGAAGCTCAAGTCAGAAAATCGGATCAGAAAGTCAGAAAATGTATGGTTCTCGGCTATGGAACGTTCCTGAGCACAGTTGTGGGCTGACCTCCTTATCTCTAGCAGTCAATGTTGAAAAAAAACGGAAGTCGCTCAACTACATAATTTTCTCCGATTTCTGTATAGACATACATGGCACGATGCTAATAAGATCAAAATCGCAGTTTCGAAGCACCCATTTTACTCCACATCACTGTTCACTCCGCAGTACTCACTCTCTAGGTTAACTTACCCCTTTCAAGAAGGAAATCTAGGATAAAGCTGGTCTGCCATATCACTACCTTTATCATAACCACAAGTTCACCGGACGAACAGACAGACACACCGACCCACCGACAAACTTACAAAGCGACAAGTTACTCTCTTATAAATAAGCGAGACAAGGGGGATTCAAACGTTGAACCGCTTTGAGAGCATCACGACGTATTTTATTTGAGCAGAATTATTGTTGGTTTATCATACTTCAACTTTTACGGACAAATATAAGCTTGTGATCTCAACCCCGCCCAACATTACTGAGCAGGATTATAGACTTCTTATCCGAGCTGGGCGGAAACCGCGCCCACTTTGGGAATTTGACCACATTTGTTCCATTACCTAGTTAACTAGTTAGTTAGCTAGTGATAGTTAGAG